AAAAAAAAAAAAAAGAAAGAGCATCCACTGTGGGGAAGAGCTGATATGGGAATACATGGCATCCTGCGGGAGCCACCCCAGCTACTGGCCAGGAAGAGTGTCTGCACACAGCGGGGGTCATCTGCCCAGCCATACAGCAGGCAGACCAAGGAGCTGGGTGTTCCACCTGGGCCAGCCCCGACCTGCTGGTCCTGTGCTACAGCCCTTCTCTAAGGAATGTGGTAAAGATTCTTCTGACAAAGAAACACATGGGGGCATGCGTGTTTTTGCGGCTGTGTAACTTGAACTATTTCACTACATGGAAGATACACAAACAGAACTGTACAAAGCGCCCCCACCCCCAGCTCAGCCTTTTTGGATATTAGTCCGGAGACTCTGTGCAGCTGGAATAAAGTTGCTTCCTAGCAAAAACAGCCTTCTTGTCCTGACCCTTGTGTCTCTGTCTCTCCGTGTAGCTCCCCGCTATGGGTCCTTGCGTCACTTGAGGAATTTGCATTTGCCATCAGATGGAAGTCTTCCTGGGAGACCAAATGTATCAACCGGGCTGAGGTCCGGTTAGACGAATCTTTCGCTACCCTTAGGGCTTGCACCCGTATCTAGCAAGTAAATAAAAAGTAAGCCTCAGGCTCAGGGCTCCGGGTGCACTACACCCAAGAGGCCCCTAGCTCCACATTCTAAACTATGGCTGTCTGTGTCTTGCGCTTCAGCCTTGTTCGTGCCTCCCCTTCCCGGTCAGAGAACTAACTCAGGCAGTCCTAGCAGGACTTGGTTTCCTACCAGTCTTTTTAAATTTGAAAGTATGTTCATTTCGCTTAAGCATTCTCACTGATTTTCTCCTCTGTGATACATTAGATCAACTTGAGAAGTTTAGAAGTTTAACTCCGCGGGGGGCCAGTGCGTTCACTTTATAAACATCCTCATCTTTTGAAGAGGAGGGCACGGAGATGGCCCGGGCACTAACCCGGCTGGGGGAAAGCAGCCTGTTTACAATACAAGGGAGGAAAAGAGGCTCGGCTCTTGTTGCTCTTGCTGTCTTCTGTCGCCTTGAACTGTTGCCCCAGTGTCACACCACCCTGCCTTGGAGCCAGCTGATTAGAGACTGAAACAAACTGTGGTTTCCTCCCTTAATTTTGGTGTCGGGTATTTTGTCTCAGCAACCACAGAAAAGTAACTAAGACATCCTCCAACGTCATTTTAGCGGCGCAGGGTCTCGAGGCGAAGTGTGAGCGCCCAGGCACGTCTGTGCGCGGAAATCGGTCGGCCCCTGTCGCGGTCACAGCGGGGACGTCCTGGAGAACAGCTGTCCGCCTGCGAGCGTCCCAGCCGCCTCCCCACGCAGCTGTGCCACAGCGACAGCGCGGGGTCACAGCGGACTGACTCGAGTGTTTGAACCAACGCGCCAACGAGTCCGCTACACCCTGACTGATGAGAAAGCCCGGGAAGTGCCTGGACAGGGACAGCCCAACCCGAGGACGGTCAGACGTGGGAAGGCTTCCGTGTCCCCAGCGCGCAGAGCCCCGCAGGTAGCGGAGCCCTCGAGGGGAGGAAGCCAGGGCCGGGGTGAAGAAGAAAGAGGGCGAGGCCGAGGCACGGCGGGCCGGGCGGGCGGGCGGGAAGGGCGCGCGGGGCGGGGCGCGCGGTACCTGTAGTTGGAGGTGTATTTGCAGCCCCGTGGGCAGCATTCATCGAGCCAATCTCTTCCACTCGAGCGCTCCATTTCCTGCTCACAGACGGGGTCCCGGCTCCGGAGGCTCCCAACCTGCTCCTCCTGCCTCGGCCCTTAGCGGGCTGTCCCGGGTGCTCAGCACCCTGCTGCTCAGGCCCCCTTCTCCTTCCCTCCGTCCCAGGGGTGCGCAGCCGGAGACCTGTGGAGGCAGCGCCCTGGGTGCAGGACCTCAGGGATCGTTCGCTAAGTGAAAGAGAAACTCACTGAGGCCCGGGCTTGGCCGGGAGGGGGTGTGGGCGGAGCTCCGAGAGAGGAGGGGCGGACCCCACCAGGCACCCGCAGAGCGGGCTGGAGGGACTTCCCGCCCTTCTGTTCGCTGAAAGTTTTTGTACTTGCTTCCTCGCCCTCATTCTGTACCCCGGGCTGGCCCCCTACTCTCAGCCCACCAAGTGCTGGGTTTAGGTGGTGCACCACCAGTTCGGCTGCGCCAACAGAGGGCTTTAAGGGTTACGCGCGCTCGGGGATGCAGCTTTTATTGGGTGAGGGATTGCTGCTTCTGTGGTTGCTGGTATCAGTCTCCACCACAAGTCCCTGAGGCCCCAGGTGTGCAGTAGGCCAGCTACCATCCCCTCCCCCCCATGGGTCCCAGGGGGCACAGGCCCAGAGGTGGCCATGGGTTGCTCAGGGAGGAGGCAGCTGCAGGTGGCAGAAAGTCATGCCTCGGACCCCAGCTGCATCCCCTGTTTCTAGCTGGAAAGTCACCCGCTCAGAGATGGCGGTGTGGACCCAGAAAATGTGAAGTGGTGCGCCCGCAGCTTTCCACTTATTTGTATCTAGAAATAAAACCCTGGAGGAAAGGAAACATGTTTTTCGAATAATCTTTCCGAAGACTGTCCTCCCACTGGCCCCGGCGTGGGTCGGTTGCACTCTCCACTGAGGCCGGGACTCCCCGGAAGGAGGAGCCAGGCAGAGGCTGGCGCATCCTAGGGGTGCATCCCAGCGCCCCCACCTGGCGGAAAGTGGTCCCATCCCGCGCCCAGGGGACGAACCTCCTTAATACTGCCATGGGAAACATGGACACGGGAACACATTGGCAGAAAATGAATGCTTCCACTAATCAGGGTACACGCATTTTCTGTATTTATTTCTTCATTTTTATATATTTGGTACAGGGTCTCACTACGCAGCTCGGACTCGTAGTGAACCTCCTGTTTGGTACATGTATTTTAGAAGTGAAGCTAGTGCAGAACGCAGACGCGGGAGTCATTCCTAAACCCAGCTCTGAGGCAGCAGGGGCCAGCGGCCAAGTCAGCAGCTCCGAGCCAGGAGTGGAGGCCTGGAGTGGCTTGCTGAATGCCTCCGAGCCTCGACTATTCCTCATCGACAAGTGGGCAGAAACCATACCCACCTTGGAGGGCTACTGGGAAGGAAAAATGTGAAGATTTATGTAAAGAACTTAGTACATAGTAGGGTGACTGGAAAGTTAAAAGGATGGAGGTAGGTAGTGACAGTTACCATACTTAGCCATAGTTAAGTATAATAGTAAAGCCATCTATCTATCTATCTACCTATCTATCTATCTGGATATCTATCACGGGTCTATCATCTCGGCAGGGATTCAATCCCCGGCTTTGCCTGCTAAGCGTGAGCTCTTTCACTGAGCTACAAGCTCAGCTGTATTTATTTATTTATTTTTTAAAATCTTATCCTTTCAAGACTGTTATATATATGGAACTATCCTTATGTGACATTTTCTGATCGCCTTATTCACTCAACATAAACCACTCCCCAAGGTCCATCTCAATTATCACAGGTATTAATAAGAACTTCTGACTGTTTCCTCAGAGTATCACTTATTTCTCTTTTTTTTTAAAATGTTTTAATTTTTTATTTATGTGTGTGTGTGTGTGTGTGTGTGTGTGTGTGTGTGTGTGTGCAGCTCAGCCCACCAGGGGGCGGGGCTGGCTGGCTTGTGGTGCTGGGGGATTGAACCGCGGTCCCTGATGCCTTGCCAAGCTTGTTCTAAGTAGGTGCTTTAGACCACTGAGCCATCTCACCAGCCCCTCATTTCTCTCTTTTTTTTTTTTTTTTTTTTTTTTTTTGCGGAACCGGGGATTGAACTCAGGCCCTTGCGCTTGCCAGGGAAGCGCTTATTCCAGTGAGCCATCTCCCCGGCCCCTCATTTCTCTTTTTTTAAAGAGATAAAAATAGTTTTTAAAAATCCAGTAAGAACAATAGAGTTTCACTAAAGAAAATGATAGGAATTCAACAGTGGTTTTACAGTGCATATTGTTATCTTCAAATTATTTGTTCAGCTTACCAGATACAAACATACAAAATTGGTTAATAAAATAAAAAAGAAGAGAAAAAAACTTAAGCACTAATTTTCCTTCAATAAATCAGCAGTATAAATCAGCAGTACAATTATCCAAGCTATCTCATGTATATACATAAATAATTTTTTCCCTTCCTTCTTCCCTTTCTCCCTTCCCTCAATCCCAGTTCCATCCCTATGAACAGTTTCTTTCCCTTTCACAGCATCTATTGTACCTTTCGGATTTTATTTACTCTTTCAGGTTCTTACGGTAGGGAGACAACACAGTGCTTACACATCCGGGTCTGATATATTTCACTTATTTATTTTTTTTTAAAGGTAAGGATTCTCTCTTTTTTTTCTTTCTTTCTTTTTTTTTTTTTTGCGGAACCGGGGATTGAACTCAAGTCCTTGCGCTTGCCAGGGAAGCGCTTATTCCACTGAGCCATCTCCGAGGCCCACTGATTCTCTCTTTTTTTAAAAAATTTATTTATGTGTGTGTGTGTGTGTGTGTGTGTGTGTGTGTGTGTGTGTGGCCAGCTCAGCCCACCAGGGGGCGGGGCTGGCTGGCATGTGGTGCTGGGGGATTGAACTGCGGTCCCTGTGCTTTGCCAAGCTTGTTCCAAGTAGGTGCTTTAGACAACTGAGCCATCTCACCAGCCCTATTTCACTTATGAATATGGTCTTTAGCTGCATCCATTTACCCATAAAAGCCTTGAGTTTTTCTTTATAGTTGAGTAATACTCCATTGTATAAAAATACCACATCTCTTTTATCCATTCCTCAGTTGATGGACAATTTGGTTGATTCCAAGAACTAGCTGTGACAAATTGAGCTGCTATACACATGGGTGGATATATATAGCTGTGATATGATGTTTTTAGTTTTCTGGAAAAGTATTCAGGAGGGGAATAGCTGGGTTGAATGGGACTTTCAATCCTAGTTTTTTGAGAAATCTTCACACTGATTTCCATAGTGGTTGTACCAGTTTGTACTCCCACCAACAGTGAAGAAGGGTTCTTTTCTCCCCACAGCTTCTCCAACATTAGTTATGGGTTGATTTCTTGATGACAGCATTCTTTCAGGCATAAGATAGTATCTCAGCATTGTTTCAATTTGCGTCTCTTGAATGACAAATGATGTTGAACATTTTTTCACATATTTATTTGCCATTTGTATTTTTTCCTCTGGGAAGTGTATATTCATCTCTAATTCCCATTTTTGAATTGGGTCTTTGAATTGGGGGGGCTGATTTTTTTTAATTAATTTTTTATGTATTTGGTTGTTACACAGCTCGGACTCATAGTGATCCTCTTGTTTTCAGCCTCCCCAGTGCTGGGATTACAGGCCTGCGTCACTACGCCTGGACCCTGTGGCCAGCTCAGCCTGCCCTGGGGGCAGAGCTGGTGAGGCACGTGGTGCCCCTATCCAACCGCAGTCCCTGCGCTAGCCTAAGCTTGCCTAAGCAGTGCTTTAGTCCACTGAGCTATCTCGCAAGCCTTTTTTTTTTTTAATTATTTTGTTTTGAAGAGTAAAAACAGAAGTAAAAACAAATAGAAAAAAAAAAAAAAGACAGAAACAGGGTAACCTACAACAATGCATATGTTACAGATTTTCAAAACAGGAATAGCTAATTAATAATAGCTGTTAAAGTATCTATTTTTATCATCAAATCTGTTACCCAGATTAACAAATATAGTTACGCAAGATGGGGGAAAAAGTGAATATTTGCACTTACTTTCAATAAATCTTATTTTTTCCTTGTCTATTTTGTTTTAATTTATTTTAAAGAGAGTATAATGATTCATAAGACATTGGAAATGGTACACATTTAGAAGATCAAGATGGGAGGCATTCAACCATGGGTTTTGTATTACATGTTACTGTCCTTGTATAATACAAAATTATACATATATATATATATATATAATC